GGGTGTGGGGGACGAGCATCAATACCAACATCAAATTGGGAGTACTGATTACATTGGAGAATTCCCAAAGAGTATTACCTGTTGATTTTGTGCTGTCTTGGAAAAAGATTGATCTTTCGCTGCTACACCACAAAAGATTTCATCACCTTTTCTCTTCTTGGATGCCAAAAGAGTCCCAAACCCAGATAACCCTATGGCACCATTAATGGCTGCATTTGCTGCCTGTTGCAAGAAAACCAAGGAATTACGCTCTCCCTGCATGGGAGCTCTTCTCTCTTCACTTCCTTCAAAGTTCTTGCAGTCAATGCACTTACAATTTTCAGAGCAGAAAACCTTGGCTTGGAAGCATTCACAGTACTTCTTTAGACACCCTGATTTCTTGCAATGACATCCTTTATTGTGCTTTCCTACCATCTGAAGTTCACTTGCATTAACCTGCATTATTTTGAGACATTTAGCAAGAACAGTAAAGGTTTGATTTACTAGTCCCTCTGGTCCAAATTAGTTGTCCCAAGTTAATTTTTGCACTTAGTTTTAGGTAATGCTTTTATATAACACATGAATGACAATTTGAATTTTTTTTTTCCCCTATACATAGTTCTTGTTGAGTAGTTTCCCTTGATCCAAAAAAAGTTTCAAACTGTCACTAATATGCTATTTCAAAGCATTACTTAAAATTAAGAGCAAAAGTCAAAGCAGGACAACTAATTTAGATGGGAAGAATGCATACTTGCATTGTCAGGCTTGGTTTAACATAGTTCATATTGGAGTTCAATAGAAATAAAAATCAAAATTTGGAAACAATCTGATTGCTAATACTGGCGAATTGTATGATCAGGCTAAAGGTTCCAGATAACATACCTTAGCATCCTGAAGTCCATGTGGACTGCTACCAATCTTAGGTCTGAATGCATTTGGATTGCGGTCCAATAACAAATTAATTGTCTCTTGCCTATACTCTTCCTTCTCGCTATTGTTATGACAATTTATGCAGTTACAACCATCGCAGTAAATTGCAGCAGCAAAGCACTCACAATACCTAATAGTTATTAAAAAGATAAAAGGACACTTGTTATTGAACAAAACAAAGCAGGAAAAATATTACGAACCACAGACTAAAGCAAACTGTTTAAACAAACAGTCAAGCAGACATTAAGGGTTTCAAATGTTCTAGTTCAGTTAATGTGAAAATGCATATAAGATAATGGAAATAATGAATATCATAAACAACCAAAATCTCTATGAATACACCGTCTAGAATCTAGACACATAAAAAGCAAGAATTATATCCTCTAGTTAGTAGGGAGTCGAGACATCCCACTGTTAAACCAGTTGAACATATAGATTAGCAATCAGTTAAAATTTTTTGTTCTTCTTAGAAAAGAAAGAAACATAAAAACTGAATTCTCCATTCCTTAGAAAAAATATATGAGGGAGTGAGTTTGCTTACAGCTTCAAGCACCGAGAATTCTTGCAATTACACTGCTTTTGTTTCTTTGGTGTACCATCTTTAGCATCAACGCTAGAATGCAGTCTTGACATAGGGGACTCTTGCTTGCTGAGAAACACAAACACACAAAAGATTATTTTGGGAAATAAAAATATATAATTGCCAAGAATGCTACCATAATAATGCAGTGCCATACTTAGAGTTAGAGGTCTATTCAAACAGATAAGCAAACAATCATTAATGCAAGAATAACCAAAAGGATTAGTCTTCAAAATGAATATCAAGTGAAAGAAAAATAAAACAAGACTGTGAATTTCTAAATTTTAAGTACAGACAAAATGGAAGCCATAAATTTGCAAGTTTAGATGTTGCTTGTCTTCATAACAGGGCTTAAACACCACAAATGCTTAAAATAGTATTAAATATTCCAATAAAATCTAGACACAATACTGGTATGCTAATAAAAATGAAGAATTTTACCTGGAAAAATCTCTGCTTTTATGGAAACAGAGAAATGAAATATTCCAGGAAAACTTACCCCAACCGAAACGTCTGCTGCGGAGAAAGCTTTTGCACCGGATGCGGCGTCCGATGGGCCACGGAAGCTTGATGATGCCGCGCTGCCAATGGTTGCATTGCCTGCAAATGTGATCTTGCCGGTAGATTTGACGGCGATTTCAGCGTCTGTAGCTGCATCGGTGACTCCGACTCCAACTGCGGTTTTATTTCCGGCTGTTGCTTTGACGGTGGGGTTAGCTGCGTTTCGCATTGTCCTTGTCCCAGCACCCTCTGTTGTGGTTGCGGCGACTTTGATTCTAACTGCAAATGCGACTGTGGCCGTGCTGATAATTGCTGCGGCGGTGACTGAAGCAGCACCGGCAGTCTACCATTCTCCGATGCACGACACATCAACGTAAAATCCAATTGCCTCGCCAATTTCTTCGGCGCAAAATCAGAAACAGTTTCACCGTTCTCCATTAATCAATCTCGACGCAAACTCAGAACAAATCATTGAATCAAATGAACAGAAAAAAAGTAATTGAATGAAATCTCACAATCCACCATTAACCAAAAAAAAAAAAAAACAAAGCAAGTCTCTTTTCACTATTCTCATCCAAAATCCCAAACCAAACACAAAATCCGAGGAAAAAAGCTCAAATCTTCGTCGGACTCTAGCTGAAAGAACAGAAGCCAAAGCGGAGGTGGAGGATTTCGACACTCTTTAGGGGAAGGAACAGCTTAGCTTCCTCAGCTCCATCTCCATATCTCTTTGAAATTGAATTCTGAGAATAACAACGGCTGGATTCGATTTGGAGTAGATCGGACGGATAGGCTTGAAATGTTGACGGACGGATGAGATTTGGTAAGGGAAAGATGGAGACTGAGGACCGTTAGATTAAGACGGGTTTAGGTTTTGGGCTGGGAAAGTGAAGTGATTGGAATTTGGCGGTAATCGAGTACGAAGGGAGTGGGAGTCTTGGGAGTATTTACACGTGTACGGTAGAATTTGGTCCAGGATATGAAACCGACGGATGATATTTGAAGTTGGGGACCCTATCTAAAAACCAGTATCTATTGTTAAATTTCAAACTGAAAAAGGCAAATGCTGCTGTCATTGGATTTTTTTTTTTAATCATTTCGTTGTTTTATTATCTTCGAAAATTAAATTACATAATGAACATTAATTTTAAAAAAGAAGTAGTAATGTTTTGAGTGAAATTACCCAAATTTTGAGAGATTTTGTTTATTTATTTACTTATTTTTTAAAAAATAGGACCACAAAAAATTAAGTGTTTTGACTAGAAAAAATGGACCCCTTCCAAGAGATATTTCATTTAGGCCTTGTACCTTCAATAATTGTTTTTCTCTTTATAATTATTTTGAAGCATACTCTTATTATTTATGAAGTCAGAACACTAGTATTTTTTATTGTAACTTTAAAAAATATTATTTTGTTTAATTTTAATAGAATTAATTTTTAATTTGAGAGTTTAAATTTGTACTTTTTCTTTTTAAGCATGTAATTATCTTTTTTAAAAGCATATTAACTCCAATGTAAAGATTTTATATGACTTTATCACTTCAGCAACTTAATTATTGTAATTGAGCTCAAGAAAATATAAAATTAGAGATCAACTTTCATCAATGTATATTTAAAAAAATTTTATACTATAATTTTCAATCACTCATTTTAAAATTTGAAGAGTTTGAAATTTAAGTGTTGCATTAATAATTACTAAAATTTTAAAATAAATGGTTGAAAATTGATATAACACTAACACTAGTTAACTTGATTCTAATTCAACTAATTACAACATCTTATCCATTTTACTTGTCAATTTCAATTGGCATTAATATGTTTCCTGTTTCAAATTTGTCCCTATTAATAATTGTTTCATTTTTAAAAAGAACACATCCCATCCAAAAAAAAAAAAAGAACATATCCCAACTTCTCTACAATTGTTATTAATATATGTAAATATGAAATTTTAATTAGTAATAAATGTGTTCTTATGAATGTTTATAATTTTTTCTATAATCATACAAAGTAGATAAAAGTGTAATAAGTAAAATGAATTACTAACAAAAATTTAGTCGATTTAATACTTACTAATTAAAAAACCTTGATTTAAAGTTTAGATCAAGAATTCAAAATTTTCTTATACTAAGCAACTAACTTTTCAATGTACTAAAAAATATTACAGTGGACCAAAGGTAGTAATTAATAGTAGGAATATCAAGTGGTTTCATAACTATGTTTGTATCTTTAGGTTATTAAAAATTTCAATTTTTAATCTTCGGGATTAGAAAAGCTAGTAGCTTTAGAGAAACGATGGGGACCACTGCTCCTCTTCCCTAGCTCCCCCATGAGAATTTGATCCTTCTAGTGAGAAAAAAGGATCCATTGCCCATCCTCATAGTGACATTGAGGTTTCGGCCTCTTCTAACAATAGTAGGGTTTAATCCCTCTTAATGATGACACTGAGGGCCTAGTGGTCCCTTGGGGGTTTTGTTCGGCTGTTCGTTGTGCCTTTCCTCTTAAATATGCTTCCAATGAGCAAACATTAGGAAATGCAGAAGGATTTGAGGTTTTTTTTCAGCCATGTGTCACTTCATATGTACAATTATGCGAAATATGAGAGTGACAATGCAACATACTAACTACCATAAAATTTAAGGTTTTTTTTTTCCCCCCTTTTTTTCCCCTTTTACTTGATATTTAAAACGATCCTAGCTACTTTAATATATGAAATTAAAGTATTACACACCTGGTCATCTGCATATTGTTTTGTTTCCTCTATTGTGTGGGTTTCGATCTTGTTCTCATCCTCGCACGCACCATCTCACACGCACATAATACATACATACATACATATATATATATATATATATATATATAAATCTTTAGAATCTTTAATTTTACTTTTCACAAGAAAAAGATTATTCTAAGATTATTCTAAGTTATTAGCCCTATTACTCTCTTTTAATTCAAAGTATAGTAATATTATAGTTACAATGTTATGTATGATTGTAACTTACAATCATAACATAATATTAAATAAATATGATGTGACGTTAAATAAGTAAATACATACAATATTATAGTTAACTCCTGAATAAAATAAATTAATTATATAACAACACATTATATTATATACTCAAAATATCACATAATTAATATTGTAATTATAACATTTTTGTTTAAAGTATAATTATGGTTTAAAACTTGAATACTGCCATTTGAGAGTTCAAAGTAATTCATTATTATTATTAATTATTAATTTTGATGGTTAGAGCATGTCTGGTTCTAGTAAAATGGAAAGAGGGGAGGAAAAGCAAAATAAAGGAAAGTTCTTCCCCTCGTTTGATTAGAATATATAAAATATAAGAAAATTAAAGAAAAAAAAAAAACCATCCTCTTCCCTTTATTTTTTTTAATTTATTTATTTAAGCAATGAAATTTCCCGAACTTTCCATCTCTTCCCTTCCCATTAAATCAAACAGGCCATTAGGGTGTTCTGGCTATTAGGGTAATCTTAGTTCGATTAATTTGCACCTATGGAAAAACTAATTTTTTAGGCAATCTTAAGAAAGCACCATATTCTAAGAAATGCAAAATTTTAAATGCTAATTGTAAAATTTGAGCATCACTCCTTGAATAATAAATGTTTTTTCTTTACAATTTGTCTCAAAATAATAATAAATTTTTTTTATTTTAAGAGAGAAAAATATTTTATTCATA